TAGCCCATCTGTTTTTTTTTTTTTTTTCGAGGAAATTTTTTATTGACACTTAGATGCAAGCAAATTACCCCATTAATGTCATAGTCATATCAAGTAATGTAATAGATAAGATTAACACATGTTAATACTCCTTAATGTCATGAAACGTCTATAACATCAGCACCGCGATAGGAAATATAGTCGACCCCAGACTCAAAATATCTAATGTTTTCAAGAAAAATATTAAGCAAAAAAGCGAATTAGTTAGCGAGCGAAAGACCCATCATCAGTAACATATTGAAACAGAATAAATATATAAATATACAAACGAGAACACTCAGAAACCAGTCAACAAACCACCAGAACACTCAACACAAGTAAACTTACAAACATATAATCCAATACACCCGACACCGTTAAAGCTAAAGTAAAGGCATATAATCCATTACTTGATATGACTATGACATTAAAATACCTTGGATTTAAATGTTTGGATTGGAGGATTTCAAACGAATGGATTTGAAATACCTTGGATTTAAAATACCTTGGATTTGAATTCCATACAATTTAAAATCAACTATTTGGATACATGAAGATTTATACAAAGGATTTCAAATCAAATTCACTGTTTGGCTAAAGAGCAGTGGATTTAAATTCTTTAATTAGTTTTACAAATATTTTCATATCATACAAATGTGATATTGCAACTATTGAACTTCTGAGAAGTATCAGTTAAATTTCATTAAATAATAACACTATATAAAAATAAAAATAATATATATATATATATATCTCGAGCGGGCAGGGCCGGTTCGAGTCGAGCCGGGCCCACGGCTTCCCATTCCCACTCCAATGCAACAGGCTCACCGGACCGAGGTGCAAATCACGGCAGAGGCCACGGAAGTTATCGCTGCCGAGTCCGTGCTGGTTCCACCGATGATCAACCGGAGCTATGTTTCCGGCAAACACGAGCAAGAATGGTGGCAAAGAGCCCAGCTCGTAAATTCTCATCCTCTTCTGAAGCCCCACCCACTCGACAATCTTGGTGGTGTAATCTTCGGCCCTCCATCTCTGGAGATCGATCACCATAACTCCGGTGTTGAAGTAGCATGGTTTTCTGTTGGCGAAGGTTAGAGAGAGAGAGAAGGGCTGGACCAGAACGTCGGCGTGAAGTAGGTGGTGAAGTTGGCGTTGCAGTACTCCGGCGCCGCCAGCACGGCCCCGTTCGGGAGCGGCGTTGCCGCGACTTTCGCGATGTCGTCGACGTGGACGAGGTTGGAGTCGAGGTAGACTACCCGTCCAAGAGATGGTCTAGGGGCATCTCACCGCCGTCGAGCACCACCGTCGAGCACCGCCGCCGAGCACCGCCGTCGAGCACTGCCGTCGAGCGCCGCCGTCGAGCGCCGCCGTTGAAGAGGAATATTCCCTGCTAATTCCCTAGCTAGAAGATCAATAATTGAAGAAATCCCTAATTTTTGAAGGCTGCTAAGAGAAGTCACGATGGGTGGATTTCAAATGACTAGGTTTGTGGGAGGATTTGAAATCCATTAAAAAATGGGCTCAAATCCATCTATTTTTCGGGGTATTTGAAATTCACTGATTTAAGTTGCGGTCCAAACGACGTAATGGATTTGGGCAGTGGATTTAAAATCCGTCCTAGCCCGAATTCGTCCTTCCAAACGGGCTCTTTGTTTATTGAGCTTCAAATATTGCGAATCTTCAAAAGCTATTTGTGTGCGCACATTCATCTATAACTTTAAAGAATGATTTTTTAGCACAGTTTGTTAACATTAACTCTATCAACAACAACAATTTGAAAGTTCTACAAAGAAAGTACAACAAAACAAGCTGAATTAACAACATAAAATAAATGATTTTTCTTCATAAAACAACTGAACTAACAAATACACACGAAAAAACAAAATCACTCATCTCCGCTCAAAGAACAAAGTAAAATCTCAATTAGTTCACCTAAACCCTACAAATATATGATGCATACAAATACGTATCCTACAAATATAATCTGCCCAACCAAAAGGGCCCTTAACTTCACAACACATCATTTTCCACATCCAGTTTGCTTCTTTTCATTTTTCATCCATCTTCACGCATCACTTCTTCTATTTCCTTTTCTTAGTCTTTTTTTTCTTCAGTCCATAGATCTAGCCATCCACAACTCCTATTTATTCATAACACACAGATCTGACCACCCTCAGAAATCCCCCGCCCAAATCCAGCAACCTACCTGTAGGCACCAGGATAGGATAAAAATGATTAATCCCGAATTTGGATTTTAGTGATTTTGTGAAGACTTGAAAAAATAATATTTTTGAGTAGATAAAGTAAAATATAAGTGTTTTTGTGGATGGAAAAATTACTTTTTTTTTTTTTTTTTTTTCTTGTCTTGCTTACAATGATCTCTAGCACTCCATATTCATAGTGAGGAGTACATTAATCTACTAATAAATTACAAAATAACTCATAGACTAACAACTCTTTTAATTCTAATTTAATACTTAGGAAAATCAAAAGACAATTGTCTATACATCTAGACAATAGTGCTTCAAATTCACATTTATTTAATCCTCCACTTATTCCAACATGAATGCCCACTTCTTCCAACATGAATGCCCACTTCTTCCAATATTGAATTGCCACTAATTCCACTATTGAATTCACATTTATTCAATTTATTCCAACATTGCCTCCCGTAAATTGAATTTGCTTTTGATTCCCAAACCTTCAACATTTTTCGAGAAAACGGGACCTCCAAGTGGCTTAGTGAAAATATCGGCAAGTTGTTCTTCACTTTTGCAATACTCAAGATTGAGTTCACCCTCATGAACAAGTTCCCTTAAGAAATGGAAACGAAGTCGAATGTGCTTTGTTCTTCCATGAAGAACTGGATCTTTCGAGATAGAAATAGCCGAGCTATTATCAGAAAAGAGAATTGTAGGCCCATCTTGCTTGAAACTCAAGGTTTCGAGAATTCCTCTCAACCACACAATTTGACATCCGGCGGAAGAAGCCGCGATGTACTCCGCTTCGGTTGTAGAAAGGGCCACGATTGGTTGTTTTTTCGAACTCCAAGAAATTGCTCCACTTCCAAGATTAAAAACATAACCGGAAGTACTTTTAGAATCATCCACGCTTCCACCAAGATCACTATCTGTAAAACCCACAAGTTTAACAGAAATATTTTTTTCATAAAAAATACCATAATCAATGGTTCCTTTGACATATCGAAGAATTCTTTTTGCCGCCTCCCAATGATTCGAATATGGCTTCTCCATAAACCTGCTAATCAAACTTACACCAAACATGATATCGGGACGAGTGGGTGTAGGATACATCAAATTTCCAATTAAGCTTCGAAACATATATAGTTGTGTTCACCAATTTTCCTTCACCTTCTTTGCTTAATTTTAAGCCCGTGATGCAAGGAGTTGACACCGGATTTGAATTCTCCATTTTGAACTTTTTCAAAATTTCTTTTGCATATTTTTCTTGAGAAATAAAAATCCCTCCTTTTGATTGTTCCACATTAATTCCAAGAAAATGATGCAATTCACCTAGATCGGTCATTTCAAACTCCTTCATCATAGAAGCTTTGAATTCCGCCAACATCTCAAAATCCTCACCCGTGAAGATTAAATCATCAACATAAAGACTCACCACCATAAAACCGCCGTTAGAATTCCTTTTGATGTAAAGAGTATGCTCAAAAGGACAACGATCAAAACCAAATTTAATGAAATAATCATTAATTCGATCATACCATGCACGGGGTGATTGCTTCAAGCCATAGAGAGCTTTCTTGAGTTTGTACATCTTTTCTTCCTCGCCTTTTTTAATAAATCCGGGAGGTTGCTCAAGATAAATTTCTTCTTGAAGAAATCCATTCAAGAACGCTGATTTGACATCCATTTGATACAACTTCCAACCATTTTGAGCCGCAAGAGAGATAATTAAACGAATTGTATCAAGCCTTGAAACGGGAGCAAATACCTCATTGAAGTCTTCTCCTTCTTTTTGCTTGTATCCTTTTGCAACAAGCCTTGCCTTGTATTTGTTGATGGAACCTTCAAGATTGGTTTTTGTTTTGAACACCCATTTCACACCAATAGGAGATTTGTGTGAAGATAAAGGTGTGAGCTCCCAAGTTTCATTTTTTTCAATCGCCTTGATCTCTTCTTTCATCGCTTGATTCCACTTTTCTTCTTTTGAGGCTTCTTCAAAAGAGATTGGATCCTCCCCGGCAAAGAATGCAAAGAAAATAGAATTTATTGCATTCACCTCCTCCGTTTCATCATAGAGTTCTCTCAAACTCCTTATTTTTCTTGGCGGGGGAGATGGTGAATTTTGCAGAGACCCATTTTCACCATCATTTGATTGCATTGCTTGAGAATCGCCTTCTTCGTCTCCAAGGGTCGGCCAAGTTAATGATTCTGAATTTTTTGAAAAATCATAAGAGGATTTTTCATCAAAACGAACATCCCGACTTATCACAATTTTTTTCGTTTGAGGATTGTAAAGCTTGTAAGCTTTTGACCTCTCACTATACACAATGAAAATGCATTTTTCGGCTTTATCGTCAAGCTTGGTCCTCATAGCATTTGGAATATGTGAATATGCAAGACAACCAAATGTTTTAAGATGACTAACATTTGGCTTCTTACCATACCACACCTCATTTGGAGTAGAATTCTCCAAGCTCTTCGTCGGTGATCGGTTGATCAAATAAACGGCACAAGCGACCGCTTCAGCCCAAAACTCCGATGGAATATTCTTTTTTTTCAACATACACCGAACCATATCCATGATAGTTCGATTCTTACGCTCCGCCACGCCATTTTGTTGCGGTGTATACCGGGCCGTCAATTCATGTCTAATCCCATGGATTCGACAAAATTCTTCAAATAAAGAAGATAAATATTCTCCACCACGATCACTCCTCAAATTTTTTATTTCGAAACCGAAAAATTTCTCAACTTGGATTTTAAAATCTTTGAAGCATGAAAGAGTTTCGGATTTTTCTTTCACAAAATAAGCCCAAACTTTTCTTGTAAAATCATCAATAAATAACAAGAAATAGCGATTACCACCGAGAGAGGGAACTTGAAATGGTCCACAAAGGTCACTATGAATGAGCTCCAATGGTGACTTTGATTTCCAATTTGACTTGGAAGGAAAATGACTCTCGGTGTTGCTTCCCCAATTGGCATTCTTCACAAATTTCGTCCATGACTTTAATGTTCGGCAATCCTTGAACAATTTCCTTGTTTGACAACTCCTTCAAACTTTGGAAATTAAGATGCCCGAACCGGTCATGCCACAACTTTGAAACGTCATCCTTCATAGTTAAATGGCAAGAGGCTTCAAAATTATTAAGTTTGATCGGAAAAATATTATTTCCGGTCATACCGATATTTGCAATGTGTTGATCCTTCTTTTTCAAAACGCAAGTGAAGTCGTCGAAAAACATGTTGAAACCTTTCCTCATCAAGTGACCAACACTTAGCAAATTACTTGCCAAGTTAGGTACATAGTAAACCTCGGACATTGTTTCGACTTTTCCGGATTTTGTTTTGAAGACAATTTCTCCAACACCTTCTAATGCGTAGGTGTATCCATCTCCAAGCGTAACTGTCCCATGGCTAGCTTCGACAAGATTTGAGAATAATTTTTTATTCCCCGTCATGTGCTTGCTCGCACCACTATCCAAATACCAAGTATTTTCAAAGCTACCGTTAGATGCAATCAATAAAGTCTCCATATTTTCGACTTTATTTTCATGCAAATAACCAACTTCTTGCCTTTTTTCTGGATATTTTTCCCAACAATCATTGATTTTGTGTTCCGGTTTATGACAATAATGACACTCAACGTAAGGCCTTGTACCTTTATATGATCCTCGTCCTCGGCCTCTTCCTCTTTGAAAATTGTTCGGAAAATATTTCTCCTCCTCTTTCGCCTCATCATTTGATTTGACTTGTCCACGGTAATTGTTGTAAGAGTTTCTTCCTCCTCTTATTTGGCCACGACCTCGGCCACGTCCACGGAACGAGCCACGGCCTCCCGTGAATGTAACGTGGGATTTTAATGCTTGATCCGGAGAAGAAATTTGAGGATTTCTTTGAAGGATCCTTGCTTCGTGTGCCTCCAATCGTCCTTGTAGACTCTCCAACGCCATTGATGAGAGATCTCGTGACTCTTCGATAGCCACAACAACATGATCAAATTTCACTGGCAAGCTTCGCATAATTTTTTCGACAACCCTTTGGGTTTCCATGACTTCGCCATTTGTCGCCATTTGATTTACAAGAGAGGTGATTCTTATAAAATATTCAACAATTTTTTCGTTTTCTTTCATCTCCAATTTTTCGAATTCAGCCCTCAAAGATTGCAAACGAACCTTCTTTACTTCATTTTTCCCGGCATAGGTTGTTTGTAGAATTTCCCATGCCTCCATGGAACTACTCGCCTTGGTTAGTCTTTCATAGACGGGAACTTCGATGGCTTGATATATTTGGAAAAGAGCTTTTCGATCTTTTTGCCTTTCGGTTCTCAAAGTTTGCCTTTGTGCATTCGTCAATTGATCCTCATTTTCGGGAGTCTGAACACCGTCTTCAACAACGCTCCAAATGTCTTGAGATTCAAGACAAAGCTTCATAAGATTACTCCAATAATCGAATTTTTCTCCATTGAAACGAGGGATAAGAGTAGCAAGGTTGGTGGACATTTTTAAGATGGCTCTGATGCCAATTTGTAGGCACCAGGATAGGATAAAAATGATTAATCCCGAATTTGGATTTTAGTGATTTTGTGAAGACTTGAAAAAATAATATTTTTGAGTAGAGAAAGTAAAATATAAGTGTTTTTTGTGGATGGAAAAATTACTTCTCTTTTTGTTTCTCTTGTCTTGCTTACAATGATCTCTAGCACTCCATATTTATAGTGATGAGTACATTAATCTACTAATAAATTACAAAATAACTCATAGACTAACAACTCTTTTAATTCTAATTTAATACTTAGGAAAATCAAAAGACAATTGTCTATACATCTAGACAATAGTGCTTCGAATTCACATTTATTCAATCCTCCACTTATTCCAACATGAATGCCCACTTCTTCTAACATAAATGCCCACTTGTTCCAATATTGAATTGCCACTAATTCCAATATTGAATTCACATTTATTCAATTTATTCCAACACTACCGCCATTTTAGGCTAAAACCCGGTTCGTTAATCTGTTTCCGGGTGTGAACCGGATTTTTTGCTTATTGACCCCGGGTTTGATTTTTACGGTTTTTGATGTTGATCCAGATCACAAAGTTGCCGGTTCCCGGTCGGACCGCCTGGTCCGGTCTGGTTTTGATAACCACGGCAGCGGCGACACCTCTAACAAGTAGTAGAAGAGTTCTGTC